CAGAAAGTCAAGGCTTTAGTTTTGAACTTCATTCTTTATTCCAAGCCAGTTGCTTAAAGTGCTGAAGCCACTGGATCAACAGCAGACACCATACTTCTTTGGTTCAAGTTCCCCATGACTAGCTTAGTTAAAAGTCACGGCCACGGCTACAAGCTGTACAAAGCATTAGACCCTTACTCCATCTGTGGAGTGGCTCATTACACAAGTCACTTTTTTACTGCATAGTTCTTGAGTGACTTTTAGCCAGATACCAAAAAGAAAAAAAAAAACCTCACAAATCATTTTTGCTAATTGCTAAGAGCCAGCTAAAGTTATGTCCTGCTATGGTAAGACTCGCTATCGTTAACAGGTCTACAGAAGGGGGATACCTGCTGCGACTGGGCTCCAGCGCGCCACCACTGTCCTAAAACAATGAGTCTGTAGTGCTTTTGGAAAACTGTCACAGGACACCAAAAAAAAAAGTTATCGGTAATTGGTATTGGCGAGTACTTGAGGAAAAGTATCGGTACTCGGTCTTGAAAAAATAGTATCCCTAGTATTTTTTTTATTGTGTGCTCTGTTTGGGACACCTATGCACCAAATATAGGAGAAATTATAGGAGCTAACAAGAAAATGTTGTGACTGTCCATGTAACACAAACTAACTTAACCACTTGCTGTCCGGAGCAATTTCTTACTATTTGTGCACACATGATAAAATATATTGTTTTGGCTAGAAAACAGGTCCAGACCCCCAAACAATTATATATTTTCTGAAAGCAGTGGCCCAGTAGAATAAAAAGATGCTAGTTGCAATTTTCTATGACGCACTCACGCAAATGTTTATCAAACCAATATTTTTAGGATAAAATAAACCAAATTAAAATTTAGTGCACGGAAACAGAATATAATACCCAATTGTTTGCTAAAATATGAAAGACGGAGTCACGCCGGGTAATTAGATACCAAACAAGCCTTAAAATTGCGTTCGCCCGTGAAGCCGCAAAAAACTTCAATACCCAAAATTTCCTATAGGGAACACTTTAAACACCTTTACCACTCATCAGATTAGTGCTAACAGTGATTGACAGCACTAGAATTATTGGTCCCACTCCACGTTTGCGGCAATATGCAACATGTGTAGCACAATTGTGGTTTTAGCACGTAGTCGCACTGACGCGTGCTTGTGTGTGTATGTGCACGTGGGGGGCGGGGGACTTTCAAATTTTTTTGCCCATTTTTTTAATTTTTCTTATATGTGACTTCTATTTTTTGTAACCACTTTTTTTTTTTTACACTAACCTTATTGCTATCACATAGGGGTGCAAACAAGCCCCCTGTGTAATAGCAGATAGAGCATGACAGGTCCTCTTTATGGAGACATTAGATGTCTTGTCTTTGCTGTCCGGAGCAATTTCTTACTATTTGTGCACACATGATAAAATATATTTTTTTGGCTAGAAAACAGGTCCAGACCCCCAAACAATGATATATTTTCTGAAAGCAGTGGCCCAGTAGAATAAAAAGATGCTAGTTGCAATTTTGCTAATGGCATTGCTAATTTGCTAGTTGCATTGCTAATGTCACCTAGGGAACCCAAAGAAGCTGAGGAAGCAGATATCTGCTTTTCCTGCTTCTACTCCTGGCTCTAAGAGCCTGAGACTATAGCTAGTGACACCGGAAGTGATGTGATACACATCACTTCCGGGTCCAGTGATCGGAAGAGAGATCAGCGGGTGGAAGCCGCTGAATCTCTCTCCGATCGTTGTGGGGAAACAAGCCGTGCCGCACGGGGACAGCGCTGCCCGGGGAAGCCGGTGTTGGCCGCAGCGGGAGGGGGAGGGCGGGAGGATACCGCACAGTACAAACGATCCGGCGGCTGTATAGATGCCGGATCGCTTGTACATTAACAGCCATTGCTGGCTGTTAAAGAAGTGCATTGTTTTTTGTGTTTAGAGCGGCGCCGCGCGTATCCGTACAGCCGAACACACGCGGACCGCCGCTCAGGTGTGAATGGAGCCTTAATCAACTTAAGTAAATCGCTTTGGGACTTTTCCGGTGCTACAATGATACAATCCTGTTTATTTTTAAAATACCAAGTTATTATTTTAGTAAATGACATAGACACTTTTAGACAGAGTACTTAAAACAAAACCTCGGTCATACTATTAGGAAAACAAGTCAATCAAGATGGTCTAAGATGGCAGCCCAAGTTATGCCAAAAAATATTGATCATTTGAAAACCTTCTATGGCACCCTTGCACATATCTCCAAATCTGTGCATATATGTAGATTAGAATGCATTAAGCTTGCCATCCTATACCTTCCTAATAGTATGGCCAAGGTTTTGTTTTAAAGTTGAATACTTTTAAATTCTACAGTATACCATCTTAATGGACTTCTTGAATTTGGTATTTTTTTTTATAAGAAACAGGATTGTTGTATCATTGTAACACCTGAAAAGTCCCAAATCGATTACTTAAGATGATTCAAGCAAATTATTCAGTAAAGCCAAGACAAGTGGCAAATTGTAAAGTGAGCGAAGGTTATAAAAGTTAAAACACTTTTCATGTAAATTTTGTCTAGCGTGTTACTGCCCTCTGCTGTTCAACATGTGAAATAGCTGTGTGCACGTCTGTAAACTAAAATAGTTATTCTAGACAAGTAAATCATAAAGTAAGTAAAGGTTATATTACAAACTTCGCCTAGAGTGTTGCTGCCTTCTGCTGTTCAACATGTAAAACGGATTGGCTAAACTATAATATCGAAAAGGAAAAATGATCCATTAAAATGCGTGTCCAACCAGAAAAAAAAAAAAATGGCTAGTCAGAAATTAAATGGAATAACATTTGTGTCCCCATTACAGATTATTTTCTAATTTTCTGTGTGGTGAAAATGGTGTCACACAGAACCAGTATGCAAGGTGCAATCTCTCTTACGAAGCCCCAGATAGTAGTAAAACTTGCCAGTTGTTCTGACCCTTCACCAACCTATCCACAACTAAAAGAATATTTTTGGATGGACGTACATTATGCATTTCCTTCAGAGTGCATTTTCAGTAAGCAAATATTGTGATTATTTTACTGCTTTGTTTGCAGGGGTGTCCCCATCCTTTTTGCCACCTGAGGCCAAGGGTGGGATTACTGGTAGTGCACGCACTGACTGCCGAGGGTGCTGGTGGAGAGTGATGCCACTGCCCAGACGTGCATGAGTGATGCCAGCACTCTGGCAAGCATCCTGCCCAGCTCCTGGCAACTAGTGATGTTACTGGTTGCTAGGAGCTGGGTGGGATGCCAGCCAAAGTGTTACAGAGCTGGGTGGGGAGATGTGTACGGCTCTTACACATCTCCCCATCTGGCTCTTAGCAACCTGGGACGCTGTTGCCGGGACGGGGAAGGCAGGCACACTGCAAACATTGTGCAGCAGAGCGGCCATGCTGTTCATCCTGCCGCCTAACACTAACTGACTCTAAGAGATGTTGCTTGAGGCTGCCTTGAGTGTTTGCCTTAAAGATGACCTCCAGGCATACATAAGAAACATAGTAATTCACATCTGTAATCATGAATATTTTTTAATGTATCTGCATTTTGACCTGGTATCAAACTCTTCTGTACAGTAGAGCGCAGACTTGGAGAGGGAGAAGCAGCACACATAGCCAACCAGTTGTACTGCAGTGCTCACAAATATGCTTATATGAGCGGTGTAATAGACATGAGTAATTCTCCTTTCGCTGCCCAGTCATGGGCTGAAGGAGGTACAAGACCTCTACGGGTTACTTAGCTGCAGAGAAAAATCAGGTCTGCTGCCCTCTACCAGACGGGGCTGTGCTGTATGTAGGGCTGTGAAAATCTCAGGACTGGATGGGCAGAAATACAAATCCTTTGGCAGGAAAAACAGCTCTTTAGTATGTATCAAATGCTCACCTAAAGTTACGCTTTTAAGCAATTGTTTATATGCCTTTTTCATGCAGCTCTTTATGACTTTTGTTATAGTATTACATGTAGCTAGTTGTAGTTTAGGGTAGATCAGCAACCACAACAACCTCTGCCTTTCTGCAGAAGACAGAGAGATGTTAGGTAAGGTAGAAAAGGTAAGTATGCACAACCTATTTTACAGGCAGACCTTTCTTCAAAACATTTGTAAAATGATATGGTCCCATTAAGCCAATCTCTACTACATATAGATCTTTAGGATATCAAAGAACTATACATTTGTTCTAACATGTTACCTGATCCGCACTGCTAGTCTTTTGTACTGGTGATGTAACTCCATTCACTATTTGCTTGTCCGCAGTGTACGAAGCAGCAACCACCTGGTTAGAAAAAGAAGCGGTTAGCATTTAATTTTCACAGGTCTAAGAGTTCACATGTCAATACCATTGCAAAACCAGTGAACCACTGAAGTTTGAAGGTTCTAAAGAAAAGTTTGCGTACACAGAGAGAAATAAAAACACTCAATATGTTAAAGGCTCGTCATGGCTCAGATTGTTTTTCTGACTACCTGACAGATTTAAGCACTTGGCTGTTGTAGAAGCAAATTTTATAATATTAACATTGGAAACTTAAAGCTATTTAAAATTACCTTTTTCTTTTTTCTTCCTTTAGAACCTTTTCTTTCTTTTACATTTTCTGACTTGCCAGGCTGCACCGGGGGCTGGTCTGTAGGGTCGCTCGAAGGCTTGTCAGGAAATATGGACACTTTTAGATCACGATCTGGTGCCTCTTTCGTCACACGATCTGGTGTCTCCTTTGTTGCACGATCTGGTGTCTCCTTTGTTGCACGATCTAGTGCATCCTTCGTTGCACGATCAAGTGCCTCCTTCGTTGCACGATCAAGTGCCTCCTTCGTTGCACGATCAAGTGCCTCCTTCGTTGCACGATCAAGTGCCTCCTTCGTTGCACGATCAAGTGCCTCCTTCGTTGCACGATCAAGTGCCTCCTTCGTTGCACGATCAAGTGCCTCCTTCGTTGCACGATCAAGTGCCTCCTTCGTTGCACGATCAAGTGCCTCCTTCGTTGCACGATCAAGTGCCTCCTTCGTTGCACGATCAAGTGCCTCCTTCGTTGCACGATCAAGTGCCTCCTTCGTTGCACGATCAAGTGCCTCCTTCGTTGCACGATCTAGTGCCTCCTTCGTTGCACGATCTAGTGCCTCCTTCGTTGCACGATCTAGTGCCTCCTTCGTTGCACGATCAAGCGCCTCCTTTGTTGCACGATCTAGTGCCTCCTTTGTTGCACGATCTAGTGCCTCTTTCACTGCAGACTCTACTGCCTTTTGGGCAGCAAGTTCAACTGGGCCTTCTACTGCGGTCACCAAAACATTGTGCGATACATTCTCTACAACCACGTGCCTTGTACGGTTATTCTCATCTTGCGCTGAAGTTTCCCTTGCCTTTATTTTGTCCTCCATAGCTCCCTTTGAAGGACCAGCTAAAGAATGTATGTGAGGTTCTAATACACTGGAAGAATCCACTAAAGACTGCTTTGTAAATTCCACTGTAGACTGTAATGAAAGACCCGCTGCATCTTGCCTAGATGGTTCAGGTGCATGTGGTGTTGCATGTTTTTCTGCAGGTTGCACTGTAAGATGTAGTGTATGCTCCACTGGAGGTGGCCCTGAAACTGCAGGCGGTACTAAATGGTCTATTACAATTGACACAGGTGGACCTACTATAGGCTGCACTGAAGCTTCTGATGGGTGTTGCATGAAAAGTACTGCTACTGCAGGATGTATTAAAGTGTTTGCCAAAGGCTCTATTGCAGGCAGCTCTAAACATCTTGCAACAGAATGAACAGAAGGATCTTCTGCAGGTTGCAATAAAACTCTTGCATCAAGCAGAGAAGAAGGCTCTGCTAAAGACTGCAATAAAGGTCTTGCAGCAGGCTGAACCATAGCCTCTGATGCAGGCTGCACTGAAGGACTTGCACCAGGTGGAACAAACGACTCTCCTGAAGGCTGCACTGAAGGCCTGGCAGCAGGCTGAATGGCAGGCTCTGCTGTAGGCTCTACTGAAGGTCTTGCACCAGGCTGAGCAGAGGGTTCTCCTGAAGGGTGCATTGTAGGGCTTGCACTAGGCAGAACAGAAGACTCTTCTTCAAGTTGCACAGAAGATTCTATATCAAGGTGCAATGAAGGTTCTCCTGCAGTTAATATTGAAGGCAATTCTGGAGGTCTCACAGCAAGATCTACAGCAGGTCGCACTGAAGGCTCTGGTGCACGTGGCAGGAAACTTTCATCAACAGGAAACATGGATAGCGTAGCTCCAGAATGAATACAATGCTCTGCTACTGGTTGAATAAAAGGCTCCACTGGAAGATCCTCTGAAAATTCCCCTCTATATTGCATTGATGAGTCTGCTAGTGGGTGCAGTGAAAGCTCTGCTGTGGGTTGCACTGAAGGCTGCTGTACAAGCTTTTCTTCACAAGATGCTCTGGACTTTAAGCGGAGCTCAGCTGTAGAATGGGCAGGAGGCTTCACTGAGAGCTTCAAATCAAGATATACTGGGGCCTCTTGCGCAGGTGCTTCTATATCTACTGCTGACTGCACTGAAGGTTCTAATGCTGTCTTCCCAGAGGATCCCACTGAAAGTTCCATTGTAGGCGGCACTGTGTGCTTTTCAATAAGTTGCGGAGACGTTGGTGATAATGGTTCTAACATGGCTTGTGCAGCATGTCCTGTTTTTTTCTTTGTTCCTTTCTTAGGTTTCTTTTTCTTGCTTTTATCCACCAGGGGAGGTTGTTCTATTGCTTCCTTCAGGTAGTCAAGTCGTTCCAAAAAACCTCTTATTTTACAGTGATTCATTTCCAGAGCCTCCTGGATTCGTTTGACTCCGGGGGAAGAGGTGCTCTGCTTCACACCTTCTGCTACCTGAGATACCTCAGACAGGTCCTTCTGTAAGACCTCATACTGGCCACGCAGCTCCTATAGGGGAAACAGGTGAAAATGGTATAAAAATGTTGGTTAACATTGTTTTTTTTTAATGCCTAACAGAAGTCTTGATTTTCAAACTTATTATCCAGTCAGGCTGCATAACAAGTATAGAACAGGCCATTTTGTAGGTGTATGTGATTAAAACAGCAAGAAGCTTCCCTGTGCTGACAGCACCCTGGGCAGCCAATCCGCTGCTTTCACACAGAGCGCAACAGTCCATGCTAACACCGGTCCGACACACCGCATGTACAGTACTATAATCAACATCGCTCATGCTCCCCGAGTAGTGTTGCTGATTAGAGCGCTGTGCATGGGGCATGTCAGACCGATCTTCCCCCAAAGGTACATTAATATGTCTGTGAAACCTCCATACTGACCTCACTCATAATTGGCAGCTTTTAACTCCTATTGCCAGTTTATTAAAGTTTGTTGACTTGATAGATTTACTTTAAAGTAGTACTAAACTCTCAAACTTTTTTGCAATAATGCATCCGGATCAAGCAAATATACATCGCCCAGCAAAGTATTTCTTTACATTTTGGCCCAAGCTCTTACAGTGATGTTTCTGAACCGCTCCAACTCTCTCAGCTCAGCTACTCTCAACTTCTTGTCCTGTACAAGTTAACAAGGGACAGCAGTCTAAATCAGCCATCCATCTACTAGCTTGGAGAAGGGAGGAACAGGGGAATGCCTTGCCTTGCTGTGCCTGTGTGTTAATGGAGACATACACACAGCTGTCTAGCACACACACAAGGGTGGCTCCATAAGACCGTGCAAGATAAAAAAGTCACCCTAAAACAGGATTTCAGGGCCACTGCTCAGGGGACCAGCTGATTCTGCAGGAAACTTACATTTGTAAATACAAAGGATCGGCATTCATTGTGATTTAATCAGCATATGATATAGCGCAAAAACATTTTTGACATTAATATCACATTATGGCGTCCGAGAACATGGTAGCTGTGATCCCTTGGGCATATTGGCTCCCTGGCTCCTGTGTTTCATCCAGCCCCAGTGGAGAATGGGATAAATGGAGTTGAATATAAAAGGGGGAAATGAAACAGAAAAGATAGGGAGGGGAGATGATATATATATATACATATACACATTGTGTGTATATATATATATACATACATACACACACACATATACATTGCAAAAACGAAAGAGTAAAAGAAAAGAATAAAACAGTTTAGTTAACAGGTTACCTTTTGGTTACCAGGTTGCCAGTCTTTGTATTTTTCTCTTTGTCCATCCAACTGGTCTCTAACAGTTAGATGGACAAAGAGAAAAATACAAAGACTGAAGAAAGAATGGGGAAAAGAATGCTAAAGGAACTAAAAAACAAAACAAAAAATAGTATTTAATTGGCAGGCAAAAAACATTCAAAAAAGCAAACAAAAGGAAGACAACACATACGAGGCAAGTTAAAAAAGCGAAGGAAATGAGCAAGGAGTAATAAAAGGATGCTTGCCGGATTTTAGTTCGACATGAAAGTGGCACACATCAATGTGCAGGGCCCAACTGAATAGCTTAAGAGGATAACTGCCCTATCTCAGAGGAGCTTGGGAAGATTTCCTCCCATGTTCCTTTCTACAAATATAAGACATTAGAATCTCCCTTTGTGACTTTATTACCAGTTTCCTTCCTAGTAATAAATGACCCAAGTTGCATTGCAAAAGGGCTCCTGCAGCATAAAAAAAAAAAATTAACTAGCCCTGTTTCAAGACAATTTTCTTCCCGAATAAAGCGTATTTGAAAGGTTATAGATCCAGGAGCCTTCCTAATTGAGCAATGTTCTATCGAGAAATGTATTATCTCAGACAAATTGCACCTGTAATTTCTGCCTCTTCTGTTCGCACGGTGCGCTTTCCCGTGATGAGCTGGAAAAATTAAGAAGCTCTTCATAAAAACTTGTCATTTTGTTATTCAGGGCACTGAAGAGACTGTCATAGTGGCGCTGTCCTTCAATACGGCTTTCCAGGGTCTGCACTGTATCCTGTCGGAAGTCAGAAGAGAAAAATGATTGACAGCTCACATCTCTCAGATTTTTTAGTATTTCATGGTGAAGCCTATACAAGAGTTATATGAAGACTGTATATAATGCAATTATATGAAAAGTGTATCTAAAGCCAAATCTTTTTTGTTTTGGGTCGGGCCATGTAAGGTTTATACTCTCAGTCCATTTGTATTGCAGTCTGTGAGGTTCACCCTCTCTATTTGTCGTGGTGACCATTGTTAGCAAGACAGAAAGTGATGACAAATACAACTACTGACTTGTCGCTGGAAATGGAAAAAAATTTGGCTTTAGATACACTTTAAAAGACGTTGATTTGCTTTCAGTGATCCTCTCTTCTGAAAGTCTTCGACACCAGGCAGGTAACCGAACTATGGGAGACCTCACCCATAAGTGGGCTGCAGTAACAGAGCACTGAGGGTGTGATAGCCTTATATTATTGCAGCATGAGCAAATGTTTGAATATTAATCAGTATATGGGCGGCCTAAGATACCTTAAAATAAACTTTTAAAATTGAATAACTATCACTGAGGTTTCTTTTGGAAACCACAATTTCAATGGCTTTAGGTCTCCTCCCCTGGGTTCACTACTTGGGGTGTAGCTATTAACCAACAAGTGAGCAGAAAGCAGTCGGAGCTCCCAACTCTCATAATTGATCCAAATGAGCAACCACTAAATAACAAAGCTAGATGATGATCATGACAACCAACAATTTTTAACAGATGTTGGTGACTGCATTGTCTTATTTGTCCTACCGCACATTCAAGTACACTTAAGTTTGCAATTCAAGGGTCAGTTTATAATGTAGGGAACACAGAGCGTTGGACAAAATGTAGGAGGGGTTGAAAAGTATTTATTTCCTCATAAAATGTCTCAAGCCAACATATTTGGGGAGTATAACATGTCCCTTTCATCATGGCTCAAAATACTGGTGGAGATAAAATGATGGACTCAAGGAAGGAAAGCTGAATACTACAGAACTGGTTTTATATGAAATACACTGCAGGTTTTAGCTTGGTTTTTGCACAGAGCTCTCACAAAAACTAGCTAATGGAATCTGCTGTTTCAAACATATAAAACTAGTCCTGTTTCCATTAACCCTTTAGACTAGCGGTAGACAAACTCCGGCCCTCCAGCTGTGATGAAACAACAAATCCCATCATGCATCTGCCTCTGGGAGTCATGCCTGTGGCTGTCAGTCTTAAAATGCCTATTAGGAATTGTAGTTCCACAAAAGATGGAGGCCCAGACTTTGCCTTCCCCTGTTTTAGAGTCTTTAATTTCATCTCCACCGGTATTTTGAGTCCCAATGAAGGGGGCAAGCAATAGTCCCTAAACCACATTGGCCTTTGACTTTTATGTTTAAAAAAATTCTGGCCTGCTAAACCATTGGGTGTGACATTCCTATATTACCTACACGTCCCTTAAGTCTACTATGACAGGTTGAGATTAAAGGAAAGATTGACAAAAATGTAACAAGCTTGCCTGTAATTCTCGCATGAAGCTGTCATGGAGCTGTGCGATTTCCAGCCACTGATTATCCTGACCTTGGGAAGACCCATCATAGCCTGCAGCCATCATTTCTGCATTCAGCTCTTCCAGTGAACCAGCCAGCGCCTGACCTTCCTGGAGAAGGAGCGTAAAACTTGCCAGTTGCCGTATCTTTTCTTGCTGCCCCGGTTGCAGCTCAGTATTTAGATTCTCACGTCTTTGCTTTAGTTCTGACAGTCTGACATGGAGGGTCCTTAACTGTTCACTCTCCTTGACCACTGGCAGATTGGGCCGCACTTCAATCTGGAATTCAATCCTGCTTGATGCAGAAAAGGAGAATCTTGTGAAGACAAGTTCTAAGTATCTCAGTAATGTAAAGCACTGAATAGATACTCTGAACGGTGTTACCTCTGTGGTTCTGATGGAAAAGTTGTGGAACCTCCTTGTCTGTTACTCTGCTGGGTCCCATCCATACGTTTCTTATGTCTTCTTTCTGTCTCTGCCCCTCCGTTTACACACTGTTCAATTATGACAAAGATGTTGTCACAAGATCAGGAAAATATGTGTGTACATTCAGGTATGTAGAAGTTTACTCTTGTGTACCAACAGTGGGTAATTGCCCAGAGTCACATTTAGACATTGTGCCTTTGGCAAGTCTAAAAAGCAATTTCCTCTTTGTACAAGCTCCACCCTTTGCGTCATGTGATTATTTCAGTAAATGTCATTGCCAAAATTAAGTAATGGAAGCAGAGTGCCATATGCATTATATGCAGAGCTAATTTTACCTGTATAGATCACCAAACAAGACAAAGGAAAGGTGGTTTCAGGTTTACTGAACTGTAAAGAGTTTTCCGACAACTCCCAACATCCACCCTACTATAAGCCGCCAGAAATGTCCAGAGGTGGACAAAAGAGAGAAATTAAAAAAGTTCTCAAATTTAACAAAACTGAGGCTTGGTGCTGACCCCCTCTAACTCCCCCTCCTCTGACCGACGAGTACCAATATAGAAATACAGTCCTGTTTTTTATGCCAATATTTCAGTGCTTGTACATGTTGTCACAGGACTTTTGACACTGATATTTTACACACCAATACGAAGATTATAAACCTTTTAGAGGTTTATAATAGTGTTCTAAAACGTGTGGTGCAAAACATAAAGATCAAATGACAGTAACACACCAATAGGGGTCTATTTTGAAACAATTTGCAGAGCCCCGTAAAGCTCTGTGAATGTTCGTTCTCTGCAAATAAGGGCAAAAACAAACGTTCTTAGTATATTTTATTTTCAGGTCAAATGTAATGTAATACTGCAATATGGCCACTAGATGGAGCAGAGGAGCATAGAAAATACTTATTTCCTCTGCTCCTCCGCTCCATCTAGAGGCCATAATGACCTGCCTAGTAAATGTTTGCTTTGTCACACAGAATAAATGAATGTTCACAAAGATTCACATGGCGACCTAAGTGTTGTTTCAAGTGAATTAAAAAAAAAAAGTAAAAAGCAGCACCACAGAACTAAAATCTTCTAGGTACAGATGAAAATTATGACTGAATGAATTAAGATTCGAGCAACTGATGCAAACGTAATGCATTTGTGGACAGAATTACACTGCGAGGCCATTTTAATTACTGATGAGTCTTATATAATTGATATAAAAACTCATAGATATTTCTATTAATAATGGAGGAGAAATGAAGTTGTTTTGAAAGATTACCTGAAACGGGTCCGCAGTGGGAGGTGAGCTTATGTGTACCAATTCCCCATCTGTTGAGCTAGTGGCAAACGGGCTCAGGACTGGAGTTATTGGGGATTTTTCCAAGATGTTAACTTTCGCTGAAGCAAACTTAGATAGTGGAATTATTTTATTTTGCAGACTTGTCTGAATAACCTGAGGAAAGTCAAATGATTAGATTAATCATTGTGATATTGATAAGATTATCTACATCAAGCCGATCTCTTTTCCATATACTCTATTTCTAATGACAGAGCATTAAAAAAGACTATGCATTTAACACATATACTGCTATTAAAGTTTTATATGCCTCTTTTACCTGCAACTCAAGTGGAAGTTCATGAGTTTGCAAAAGATTCTGTATCTCTCTGGAAAGCTTAGTGATTTCTTCTAAATGTTGCTCATAATTTTTGGCCTCAATCTGAAACAATGACAGAAAACACAACTGATTAAATCAAGCAATGCTGATGTTGAAGTGCAGATTAAAATTAATAGTTTTCTAAACTGATTTGCTTCAGAAGGACCCAGCTTCAAGCAGAAATTTTCAATGTGATTTATTTGCTGAAATACTTACCTTTAATCCAGCGTTTTCCCCTGCAGAGTATCATCTGCTGGAATGAGCTCCTCTTCTGAGTTAATTGATGCCCAGCATCATTCAATCCACGTCTTGTGAATCCAGTGTGTCATGAACCCGCCTCTGGTGATAAATCACCACGTCATCTGGGCTCACAGTACAATACTACAGAAGACGACGCTGATGACATTATGTCAGAGAAGCTCCCTGTAGCACTGAGCACCTCACAGCTGTGTAAATATCAGGACTGGATTGACAGAAATACAAAATTATTTGGCAGGTAAAACAGCTCCTTAATATATATTTAGCTGTTAACCCGGATTTAAACTTAAAAGAGAACTATGAGGTGAGTGAAAATCACTCATCCTCGTAGTTCGAGCCAACGTGTGACAATGAAACTGTCACACGTTGGCTCAATAGATACCGTCACTCACTCACTTCTCGAACATTGACCCAGCAGAGACCAGTGACTGTCAGTCACAGCTCGCCGCAGGGATTACCCCCCTCCACGCTCCGATCCTGCAGCGCTGACTGGAGTAAACAGACAGGGCAGTGGGCAGTGGTCTTTAAGTTACAAGACGAGCAATAAAGGAATTTTGAGAAAGGCAACACTCACATTTAACTGCAGAACATCTTCCCTGGTTAGATCACTGGTTTCAAAGACATTTTTCCTCAATTCAGACCACTGCTCAATATCCTCAGAGAAATGCAAGATTTTGCTCCACAAGCTGATTGCACTCTTCAGGTTTTCATTATAGCTTTCCAGTTTCTCTGTAATCTGTATAAAAAGAGCAGATGTATAAATGTGTATTCAAGGAGGACCTGTATTGTAGAAGCAGTCCCAACAAAAAGGCAAGCAGAAGGCAAAAGACTAGTCACTAATATTGCTGTAGGCTCCCTGCAGTTGATCCTTTCCCCATTTTAGGACTTATAATGCCTTATTATGCACTATGTCTCTGTGTGGAGGGGATCATCTTGGTAGAGGCAGGGTTTTACTTACTAATGTCAGAGCTGCCTACCTAATGAATGGAGATCTGTGATGACTGGTCAGGGAATGACCAAGAAGCAGCTGGAGAGGTATAAATGAAGCAGAAATAGAGTGATCCTTGCACTGTAACTTTCTCACCATCAAGAGCAGCAAGCAGAACAGTAGAGAACATCACTAATTCGCACTCCAAATCCGGTAAGACTAGCAGTCTGAGGCACAGTGCCTTTGAAGATCTCACACTGCAGATACAGACCTATTAAGCTCTAAGCATGGGCGTATCTAGGCATAGGAAGTTCACTAACGTTTTAGGAATTTAAGACAAAAGGTTAACATTAAGGGTTCTGCTTGGGCAATATATAAATATTTCAATGAGTTCCCTATAACATTCTATATATTTATTTTTTAATTTCAGGTCCACTTTAAGACTAAAAAGAATACCCAACCGAGTACAAAATTCATGAAAATGGCTAAGCCAACAAGTAGCCTATCAATTCACTAGGATCCACGAAGGTGGATACCAGACAGTCTAGCTATGTAAGGGTCACCCTCAGTTTCAACCATTATCCACCGGGACATGGAATGGAAGACACAGCTATAAGAAGGAATGCTTGGTATATCTGTGCAATTATGATGTAACCACAATCACTATGAATAGCCCCACTGTACTTACTGTACTTGAAGATAAGTTGGGTAAACCAATCTCCCCAAGTATGGCTGCCCTTCACATAGCTTTTCTGCAATTCATTATGTCCAAAATCCACAAATACCAAATTCTGAACAATTCTGCCATAATGTACATAGCAAATAATTAAGCCGTCCTCTGAATTACATGAATTTCTGTGTAAGATGTTTAAAAACCAAAGTGAGATACCTACATCCAACCACTTATCAATAATTGTGTGGGCCTCAGTCTGAAATGGGGATTCTTCAAAACTTTTGATCTGATTGATCTGAAATTGTAACTTCTTACAGATGCTGTTGATCTCTTCAACATCTTCTGAGTGATCATCAAACTCCTGTTTAACAGATTTTAACTGCAGAAAAAAACATATAATAGAGCACAATATTAAAAAAAAACTAAATCTGCTTCTTATTTATGATAAAAAAAGATGCCTCAATTAATTTGCAAACATGTGGAAGACCCATCATGCATCAAGGTGCCAAGGATGGTCTCTTCTATGGAAGTAGTGACAATGAGCATATCATAAAAGATCATTACTGCAACAAAACGATAACAGAATATTTTGCATCTCTGGAAAGACCATAAAATGTAAAGCAGGCCAAGGGTAAAGGGTTTTCATCTTAAGGTCGCAGTACTTTGTTATATTAGGTTTTGCATCTCCTATAAGTATATACTCTTTATAAGGTGAAGAAGCATTACCATCCTGTATCTATTGGACTACATTGGGCAGCAGAGCTTGATTCCATAGCCTTGGTATGAGCTTCCTAGCCATGTACAGAGTTTCTTGCAAGATAATGTTGGTGTAAGTATCTAATGTCTGTCTCTTTGTCTTGGGATACTATAAGGGTTTGATTTTGGATGGACGGATGAGCATTAACTATGTTCGATGTAAGATATAGAGGTCTCTCTTTTTTTTTTCTTCAAAAAACCTCAACGAGACATGGCCTCCACTCTTCCTCATCTATAGGTCCCACGTTTGCCTCCCAGTATACTTTTTTTTTTCCCCTGATCATCTAATGTCACATTCACTGTTATAATTGGCAGCAGATTGTAGAAATTAGTTTTCAAGACGTGGGTGCAGTCAGTAAGTCAAATATCTGGTAGATCATCAGGTAAAGAGAAGTGGTTTGTCTCAGCTGGAGGTATCTAGAAAGCATGTTTGGAATGCATTGACTTTAATACTTTGTGTCCATGTGTAACGGCCGCCGACGTCAGCTGCGGGCAAGGAGGGAGGAAAAGCGGCAGCCAGCCGCTCCTTCGCTGGGCTGATTGCGTTCCACAGTGAAACGCACGCTCCTCACTTCCGGGTTTCGGGACCGCGTGCGTTCCACCGTGGAACGCGGAAGTGCGCCGCTGCGCGCCTCGGCTCCTACTTCTCATCATAGGCCTATTAAACGCCCAGACGAGACAGCATGGCGTTCCAATATTGAGTCAGAACGCCTGCTGTCTCCTGGGACCCTCCATTGCCTCCAGCTCGAGCCTTACAGCATATATCACCGGAACGGGACACCACAAAGGACCCCCAGCTACCTCCATTCTCCAAAACCACCAAATCGCAAGTATTTCAGTGCAGTTGCACACTTTGCCTTCTGGACTGTGTTCAAATACAAATTGCAAAGCTTACCACTAATGCTGGGGAACAGTACCAATACCAATTAACAGTGTCTTGCCTTTGTATGCCCTGCTATTCATGAATCTTTAGAAATACTCCGCAGCTGGTTGATTAGCTTACTGAGGGATACCCTCGCCAATCCACTTATTATTTAAACTGAGGCTGTGATGCTAGAGAACCCTAACTCTCCGTTAAGTCGAGAGTGAAACCAGGGTTCCATACCTGAGAAGCCTCCGCAGCTGCGATCCACGTACTCCCAGTCCGTAACAGGCGTTACACCACGACCCAGAATAAGTAAGTATTGCTTTTCCTTTATGCAATACGGACCAAGAACAAGTACACATTAGTTTCAATGCTTTTTGCATTGCTAACTAGGAACAAGTATGCAATGACTTCAACGCTTTTTGCGATACTGACCCAGAACTAGTATGCACCGGTTTTAAAACTTTTTGTTTCATTGACCCATGTATGTACAGACTGAAGTGCCTATCTTGCGTGCATTCATCATCTGCTGGTTGTACCTTAGGACTTCAGGTCTCTGCTGTGTACAGCTGGCCCTCATTAATGTCCTGTAAAGGGAGCTCAGAACTTACACCTAGTACAGATCAAAGGGCTTGTCTGTTTGCTCATGCCCTAGATAAGAGATCTGTGTCTCTGACATCTGTCTAACTGCTCATATCCTGGATTATTCCTGTGTGTTTACACTTCTTGTCTGGTCATTAGCATGATACCACTGCTACTGTCCATCACCTGTCTAAAACACAGACTCCGTAGCATACTCACCTGACCTGGCCATCAGTCTGCTAACTTGGTTACTGTCTCTTATTTGCTCTGACCAACATGCTAAGACTTTACACCGCTCTAGCATGTGTCCTGCCTGTAGTCGGCTGTTGCTTCTAGCAACACAGAGGGGGTATACCAAACTCCATGACATATACCTTAGTGGTGTAATGAAAAGGCTCTTATAGGGCCAAGTACTCTGTGCAAGACAACATTACCTTTTTCAAGCTCTTCTGAAGATTTTCTTTTCCTATGTAGGATGCCTGACAGGTCATTAACATCTCTGCTTTCTGAATAAGCAAGGTTAGTTCCTTCTTGTAATTCTGAAACTTGCGGAGGAGCTCTATCACCACTTCGCACTGCTCCTTGCTACAAAGAAATTTTGTTTTTTTTACTGGAAATAAGATTTAATAGTAACGTGCAAAGAATAGAAAAGATGCAGGGCACCTAAAGGAACACACAACAGTAGAACTGTTATAAAAAATAACAATGTTAAAGGGCTGAGTTCACCTGTAAAATCAATTGCCTCTGCAGTAAAGGGTTACCAGTAGGTATCAACTTAAAGTGACCCTAAACTCGCGTTTTAAATCTTGAAAATACATTCAAGAAAAATTTTGCTTATTTATGTGTAGATCCTTAAAACATGCTGACACTGTCCTTCCTTCTGGTCCCTGTGTGTGTTGTAAAGTAGCCACCGCTCCAGGCTCACTCCCGTTGATGGACTACAATCTCAATACAAATGAGTAAATTCAACGTGAGATTATAGTCCATCACGGCAGCGAGCTTGGAGCGGTGACTACTTTACAACACACACAGGGACCATGGGGAACAAAAGTAGCCACCCTCCAGAAGGAAGGACAGTGTCAGCACCAATTCAGAGATGATTTGAGGATCTACAGCACAAATGAGGTACAGATTTTGGGTAATAGTGAAGGTACTTGAATGCATTATTAATTGTATTGTTACTTTAAAGCACCTGAGAAGATACACAAGCTATTTTTTTTTGTTTTAAGTGAATTAAGCTATCTTTCACATAAAACAGACAAGAGAAAAATACTGTAGTTGCCATTCCTCTTCCCCTGTTGAATTAGCCATTTGCCTGACTGTTATGTAGATCCTCATGCTTCAATACTTCTTGAGGCAATGACCCAGAACAAGTGTACAGATCAGGAAACTCACAGAAGAGTCAGACGTCCTTACCTGCATCCATGTTGGTTTTAGGTTGGCATGACAGTCAGGCAACTAGCATCTTCAGAAGGACGGTGGCAGTAGTAACCATAAATTGGGACAATTCTGAGAGGCATTCAATCTTAAGACAATATTACAATATAATATTATTGTTGGCATTTCCTCTGTGCTAAACCAGGTGCTTTCATTTCCCTCCTACCTATGGGTGATATTCTGTACTGCATCATCCCATAACATCTCAAACTCTTCCAATCCACAGATATCCTTTGAGCGCGTAGTCTGAAGAAGCTCCAAGAAACCATTAGAAATGGAGATCTTCTCGTTTGTGAAAGATTCTAGATTCTTCTCCACTTGTTTCAAAGATTTCATTCTAGTTTGAAAAGAAAAAAAACACAGTTATGAATCTGTTCAAATGTTTACATATTAAGCAATATTGCTTATTCAACACCAATGCCGTTTGAATAGTTAAAACATATTTCTAAACCCAAGAAAAAATAAAATTAATATATAGAAGCTTACCAGTCCTAAGTGATGGTTGCACTAGTTTTCTTTTCTCATGGTGATTCTGCCATTAACACTTCCTGTCTTTGGGGGAGGGGGGGCAACACTCCCTCATAGTACTGTATCTATGGAGATGCAGTGTTGTCATCCTAGGACAGGACTATACAACACCACCTTCTCTCTTTTCCATAACATGGGGGGGGGGGGGGGAAGG